ACAGCAAGTTGTGATTATTTTAACGTTCAGAAGTCTTCAAAAGTAAGAAAATCCACATTATTCACATTTTCAATGTAATAAATTTAATTCCACCATTAATAATTTAGAAAGAAAATGAAGAACTATTTATCAGTAGAACCATATGTGATGAGACTATATTTTTAAATATCAAACAAAGACTTAAATAGCCAGATGAATATGAAGAATACTACCCTTCAAAACATGTCAGTTTTTCAATAATGATATTCTTGATCAATATAACTTGTTAATTTTTATTGAATTGTACAACAAATGCCATTACTTTATAATGGTACATCCTTATTTATTTTAGCCAAAAAAAAAAGTATTACTCAGCTTAATCGCTTATCCCATTCATCAAATCTGTCATTAAATGACGTGATTATTTCCAAATATAAAATCTACCCTCACAGGAAAAAGAAATTGCTATCATCAAGCATATTTACTGTCCCCTGAGGACAATGTATAAAGAATCCTAAAATACATTGGAAAAAAAAAACATAAAAGCAAAAATATATTGCCTTCTCAGCTTTCTGCTTTGAAAATGACAACTCTTTTAGATCATAACTGTGGATATATTGCTTGATCCATAATACCTTACATACCTAATTTACTCTCATGCCTTTGTGGACACACATACACATACATACATACATGAGCATGAGAAATACTGCCTTCCAGAATTTCTTACAAAGACACAAAAAGCACAAACCAAGAACAAGATAGATATAGTTGGTTATATTAAAATTAATAATTTCTATTCATCACAAGATATCACAAAGAAGACAAAATACAAAGTAAAGATAGGAGAAGATATTTGCTATACATGTAATTAACAAGGATTAAGCTCCAAAATGTGTAAAGTCAACCAACCAACCAACCAACAGAAAAATGAGACGACTACCACAGACACTTTACAGGAGAAACACAAACAGCATGTGAACATATAAAAAGATACTCAATCTCATTAATAATCAGGAGCAAAATAATCCAAATATAATCAATAGTAAAAAGGATAAATAAATTGGGTTATATACAGAAGATAATATTGAACAGCAAAAATTAAGTAGCAGAAGAATGCATGCACTATTATTAGATTTATATGATATAAACTAGAAAAACTTTCAAAAGTAAACATGCACATTGCACGTAGGGGTGGTTTTTCAAGTGGGAGCCTTTGGAAGACTGGCTTCTCCTAAGTTAACTCAGGATATTCATTCACCGACTCACAGACGGACTCTTGGAATTTGGGAAAGGGTTGGGAGGCTGTGTTACAATTCAGCTACAGGGAATCAATTCCTCCTCCACCCACACAAAGTTTCTTCATGTAGATGCTGTGCAGTCACTGCTGGAATGCCTCCTGAGATGGGGCTTAGGCCATCCCATCAGGCTGCTCACTTCACTTTTGGAGTATTAATTCTACAGTCTACTTCCCTACTTGCACTTTTTCTTTGGTCATCTAGATTCATGAATAATAATTCCCTTTTCCTGGGACACTGTTTTAGCACTTAAAAACAGTTATCCTTTCCTCTGCACTTTTCCATCTGTACATGAAAAACGTCAATTTTTCAAAAACACATGTTATGCTTCCTAGACTTGCTCAAGTATATGAGAGTCTTTTTTGAAGATTTTTATGATAATTTTTTTATAAATAGATGTTTGTCTTATTCTGGTTTTACGTGAGCAATACATAAGTTTGCTCTTTAACAGCATTTTAGGCTTGGTCCTGTAAAGGAACTGGAAAAATAACTTTTAAGTGCATTGGTTATTCAACTATTCTAAAGACAGCTCTCAGATTAACATGAAAAACTCATAAAGCCAAAAGGCAACACCTGATGTGGGAGAATAAAATGGTCTGTTTCTCATGTTAAATTTACTGAGAGGGCTAATTTATATGAAAATGAACTCCATCTCTTCATACTCTCAAGCAGTGTTTTGAATGCCAACTGACATGGTGAGGCATTCATCATTAATGTTCAATTTTATATAAAATCCTCCTTTGAATGTCAGCTTTCAGTACATCATTTAATTATATAAAGACAGGAAAAATATTTCAGGGGTCAGGGGTTATAGAAATGCAGTATGAATTTGTGTAAGTTTACTATCAATGGTGGCTAGTATAATCCATGTCCATGTTGAAGAATAAATACTGGCGGACATCAGCATCACAGGTAGACCTGGTATCTACCAACTCACTGGGAAAGGAAGCAGACAACCAGTTTTCAGGAGACAAAAGTGAAATCTCAGTGCAATTAACAGAATCGTGAGGCTAGTCCCTGAGAGTTGATGTGAATAATCACAGATCACTTAACATAAGCTTACAAAAGTCCTATTCAAAGAATCACTGTGTGATGAGCTAAAAGAAATGTTCCCTTCTTTCTTTATTTTTTTAAACCTGTGAGAAAAAACAAAATCAATGCTATTGATTGTAGACAGAAAAAATAGGGCCTTGAAAGTACACAGCATAGTCCTGAACAATAAGGACACAACAGTGGACGAAGATTAAGCCAAATCACAGACATTTTTCAATAAGAAAAAGGAACTAATAAGAGGAGAGGAATGGATGTGAAACAATCTATAGAAAGGTCAGTAAGTGGTTCAATGTCCAGAAAAGCCAATCAGGTACTTATAGGAAAAGTCCAGATTATTTTCTTTTTGAATTATTGCCATTCAATTTTTATTGTTTTCTTGCAAATAACCAAGAAATTTTTTCAATCCTATGGTTTCATGATGCACATCTTATATGAGTTTCCAAAATCTAGGATAATATATATGTAGTGAAAGCATTTCCAATCCATATACTTTCAAAGTTAACACTGCCCAGGCACTAGGCATGGGAACACTGGGGCCAGATGGGCAAGATTTTCACAATGACATACTGTTTGCATGATCTTGGCCACGTTATTTAACTTATTCACACATCACTTTTTCATTTATTAACATGTAGCTAATATAATACCTACCTCTTAAGGTTGTTATGAGTATTAAAATTGTAATCCCTATAAAGTGATTAAACAATAACTGACATATGTAAGTGCTAAATAAAAGCTATTATCATTAACAAGCACCTCAAAAAAAATCATGATTTTTATATAAAAGTTTAACTTAAAATAGCCAATGGTGAAAGAGCACTAACCATACACTTGTCATTTTTAGAAAATACAATGTAATCTATCTGCTTCCACAATGATCATAGAAAACGCTCAAAGCCAGTATCCCTAAGCAAAATAACCACATTAATAGGTACAAATTAGACACTTTTCAATATGCAAATATCAGATAAGGTTCCCAAAGATGTTTTACTCACATCACCAATTCTGAATCAGTAAATCAGAATTTGTTTTATTTTGGATGACAGTAGAATGAAGTTTATCTTTACCATAATAAAGGAGAGGAGGACAAGAGTGTAAGAATATTAAATGTTATATCATAATTAAGGCCAATGTCTATTCGTTTAAGAAAATAAACTATATTTGTAAGAGGCATTTATATATTTAAAAACATAATTAAAATGTGAACAGCATTAGCAACTTAATCTACTTACACAGCTGCCTTAAGCTAATACCAAACAACTGTGATCAAAACTTGAAACTGAAACTTCTACAAGCCAGCAATGTTAAGTATCTGAGAGTCACACAACTTATTTTGCTTGAAAATACATGATAATACATTTACACTACCTCCAGACAATTTTCCCCAGTCATCCTAATTAGTAAAGTCTTGCCATATGACTACTCTCTTTTGTTAAAATGATGAGAAACTTTGGCATTTAGGTATGCAATAATACTTGGGACACTTCCCAGGCTTAAAAAAAAAATCACTTAAGGCACATACAAGACAAGTATTTTATGAAGAAAACTTCATTTAACTGAAGAGAGACAGAAAAAATTGGACTGATTTTCCATGTAAACTCCTGGGTGTTTTTCTGAATGTCTTGATAATAAGCAAGTGTGTGAAAGATCCTCTCTATCCTATTATCCATTGTTGCTCTAGTTGCTACCCTTTATAAATATTAATGTTCACAGATGGAAAATAATCCATCTATATCAAGAACATTGCTATCTAAATTTTAAGAAGATTGAATGTGTTGATAAAAAACTAATTAAAAAATGAAACATTTCCTCAATTAACACCTATAAATATTTAAAGGACAGGGTTTTGCTTTGTTTTTTAACTATTTTGATATAAGGATATTAGCACAAGATGGGCCAACTTACACTGAACTGGATAGAATTACAGCTTGAAGTCAGAGTAGCATCAATTTATAAGATTACGGTCATTTTAGTGACTTGAACACAAATCAACAGTCATTATTTCAGGTTTCTTTCTTCTCATGAAAGGAAAACATGCCATTATAAATTCCAAGTTAGCAATAGACATTATGAAAATTTACCAAAGCATAAAACATATATACACAATGCATGCCTCAGTTTTTTTCAAAGCAGTTTCTATCTCAGTTTGTCTAATATTTATTGAAACAAGCTTTCACTTATTAATTAGGCAGCTAATATGCCATCCGACCTTTATAATTTGCCTCTATCACACACATATAAAACACTGAAAACATTCTCTTTTTATGGAAGCATCATAGCAGAAAATGTAATCATATACTACAAGTTAAAGTAGAGTTGAAGACGCTTTGATTATCTGACCAAAAATACTTCCAATAGACCTGAGCTCCCACTAAAGCTTTGTGAGCTTGCTCAATGGTCTGACGTGCACGGTCTCATTCAGTGTAGTAGTAAACAGCTTTTTTCCACATTATCATACATTCCTGATGTCTGAAAAAATATGAGATTTTCATATTAATATTCTAAACACAAGCACTTCATACAACTAGTATCTAAGTAGTGTTCCACCTCTTTTCAAGCTGTTTCTCAACAAAAAAAAAAGTAAAAATGGAATTGTCTCATGTCATCTGTGTGCAGGCTAAGATAAAAGGGAATATTTGAATGTCAAACGATCAGAATTACAAGCCATACCTTCCATGACATACACCAGTGACCCGACATCTCCTTCCTTGATGATGCAACTGTCTTTCCCATACTCCACTGGGTACATACAATCCACAATCTCCTGGATCTGTGACAGCTCCAAGTTCTTCATAAAGTCATTGTCAAGGATGGCTTCCTTTATGAGATCCTTGGACCTAGAGCAACAGAGGGAAGATTTACTGGCACATCTGACAAGTGCTCTCACAGTGTGTGAGGTTTAGCAGAGCCCAGCAGTGTCCCAGCACACTGAAAATGCATTTTCTTGTTAGTAATCCAATAATTTTCTGAAAGCCCTGAGAACAAAGTAATTCCATGGCCACAGAAAAGGCAATGAGAAATTTTCCTTTAAGTAAAGTATCGTTTAATGAATATGTGACAAACAAGCAAAGTCACAGAATTCCATATTTGTTTTAGAATGTTTTTTAACCACAAAGATTATGGAAAAACCAACGGGTAAATACTTTAAATTGAAGTTTGTAACTTAGTTTAAAAATGAATCCAAACAAAATACAAAATGTTACAGAACAAACACTATTATTACTATTTTTATAAATTATAAAAGGACATCAGGATGTATGATGCCTCTTGTAGACTTTATGCTTTATGAAGGGAGGGGTAATTTTTAAATTTTCTCTACTGTTTGCCCAGTGTCTACCACAATACTGGTTATAGTATCAGTGTTTAGGAAACTTTTTGGATTAAAAATATGGTAAGAATTGGATTTCTAATTAGCTGTTTGAAACAACTGGTATAAATTTGACAGTTATTTATCCATACCTCATCCTTCTGTAGAGAATATTTATTTCTTCATCAACTAAAATTGAGGTAATGAGGAAGATAAATCTCTACTGAACGAGAAGTTTCAAACACAACATGATTTATACATGGGATTAAACATGTAGTCAGTGTGAAAGGTATTTACAAATTCTATAATTGGGATTCAGTGGTTAACAGGAAAGTTTTGCAGAACTCAAAAGGTGGTGTGGTGATAATTTGATTCACTGGGCTAATAAGCTCCAAATGACTTCCTAGGATACAAAAATCAAAGTGAACAGAAATCAAAATATATTTTGTCTGGAGGAACACAATCAGGCTGTACGATCACAGAAGTCAGAAACTGGATAAGATGAAAGCAAAGAACTTAGCTACATAGAGGGGAAGCAACACATTTGGGATTGTATATCAAAAGTCTTAACTTTAAAAGCATTTGACTACAAGCTGGTCTTTGTCCATATTTGCTTAGCAAGTGGCTTTCAGGGAAATGAATTGCAGTTGTAAATACTGACTAAAGCATTAGCTCTCCCATTTTTGAATGGCTTTTCATCTAGACCTCGGTCTAACTGGATTAGCCTTCACACATTATGTTTGTTTTTTGTTTGTATTAGTTTCAGGTGTACAAAACAATGTAACAGAAATCTACACCCCTCATAAAGTTATAACCCCCCTCCCCCAATCTACTACCCCTCTGACATTATATATAGCTGTTACAATTCCATTTACTATTCCCTATGCTGTACTCCACATCCTGTGACCATATATATATATATATATATTAAAGCCTTGGATTTTGAGTAACATGGTTTGCGAGGGTTCCGCAAGATGAGCAAACGTTTCTAATACATGTAACGTGGTAAACGAACGATGTCTTGCAATACGAGTAGTTTGTTTCCAGAGCAAATTATGCTCGCAAACCAAGGTATTACTGTGTGTGTATACAGATGGATATAGATATAGATATAGATAGATAGATTAAATTACAGTTGATATGCAATATTATTCAGCTTCAGCTTCAGGTGTACACTGCAGTGGTCAGGTACCTACACCATCCATGAAGTGGTCTCCCTAATAAGACGTATGTCCATCGCATACCCTACAAAATCTTTACATTATTGATTATATTCCCCAAACTGTCTTTCATGTCCCTGTGGCAATCTTGTGGTTACCAATTTGTGCTCACCTTCTCCCTTATCCTCACCCTCCTCCTATCTAGCAAACCATCAGTTTTTTCTCTGTATCTCTGAGGCTGTTTCTGATTACTTTGCTCATTTATTCTATTCTTTAGATCCCACATATAAGTGAGATCATATGGTATTTATCTTTCTCTGTCTGACTTATTTCACTTAGCATAATGTTCTCTAGGTCCATCCATATTGTTGCAAATGGTAAGATCATTCTTCTTTCTGTCCGAGTAATACTGCATTGTATACACATTATGTTTTATAATGATTTGGATTCAAGTAATGAAAAGTTCTACATAAAGATGAAAACAATTGAAAAGTTATCAATATGAAAAATATTCTTAGAAAGGACAGTTAAAATGCAATTAAAATTATATTAAGAGTGTTAATGGTATGGAGAAATTCTCACACTATTTTTTACGTGAACAAGCAGAATACAGAATTACTTGTAGATTAAGAAAGTATGTGTGTGATGAAATATAAAGAAAATAGTCTTTGACATTATTAGGTATATCTGGGACCCAATCCAAGCCGTGCCACCTAGTAAACCTTGGGCAGCTTGTCTTACTTTTCTAAATTTCCATTTTATCACGTGTAAATTGACATTTTAAAAATGACCAACCTAACAGAATTATATGTGAGAACCAGTGAAAATATAATGTTACTTTCAGTAAATGGTGGGCAATAAAGGTGGTAGGAGTATTAATTGCAGCAGCAGTAATAAGAAAGGAAAAAATAGAATATACCATTAAAACTTAAAACAGTATCAGAGGGAAATAAGATGTTGGCATCGGTTGTCTTTGGTGACAGAATTATATTATTTTTCTTTCTACGTTCCTCCATTTATAAAATTTTCTACAATGGGAATGCTATTTTATATTGAAAATCTTTAATTTTAAAGGTAGTTTATGAAAAGTGTGCTATAAAGAAACATAATAATTATTGCTCATTTAATACTTGTTGGCTGTAATTGGTATGTTCAATATTACTCTTTTAAATAGATTCTCTTTCATATAGCCTGTGTTTAAATACTAATGGCAGGAATTTTCACCTAATAAAGAGATGGTGATGAATGCTAGTGGCTAAGGACTTCAGAATAGGCTCCATTTAAAGTCCGTCTGTGACTGGAGACAACCAAGATGGCACAGTGGGTAAACGCTATGTTTACATTCTCTCACAACCACATCAAAATAAGTAAACTACAAAACAACCATCATTGAGAATCACCTAAAATCAAGCTGAACTAAGGATGTGCAGAAGAAGCCACCTCCAGACTGGTAAGAAGGTCAGAGATGCAGAACAGGCTGGTCCCATACCTGTGTGTGCCCATTAAAGATCGGGAGGGATACATCGGCGGTGAGGGGTCCCCCCCATCCCCTAGAGGAGTGAGAGATCCTGGCCTCACTCTAGCCCAGGGTTCCAGTCTTCTTCTCCGGGGAGAGAAGTCCCCATAATTTCTGGCTGTGAAAACCAGAGGAGAGAGGTCAGCTGAGTAACTCAGTTGATTAAGAGCTCACTCAAGAGTGCGAGCTCTGAGCAACAGGGTCGCCGGTTCGATTCCCAGCTTGAGCTGAGCTGCTGCTAAGATGCCAACAGGTGGCAGGATGGCTCAGCTAAAACAAACAAACAAACAAAAAAACCCCAGAAGAGACTGTGGCTGATGGAAACAGTGCGGCTGCACTCCCAGGGGCTCCTCTTAAAGAGACTGTGTGCCGACTTACCCACCGTGGAAACACTCGCTCTGAGCTCCAGTGCTGGGGCAGCAACTGGAAAGGCAGCAGGGACGAATGGTGAGGAACTCAGTTATCGGGCTTGAGACCGGGGCTGGTGAGGCAGCTTTCCCCTGGACAGGGGAGCTGGCGGAGGCCATTGCTTCTTTGTTGAGCCCCGCCTCCCTGTGTGCAGAGGCAGGCGGACACCACATCTGAGTCTCTGCCATCCATTTGCCATGTCCTAGTCATTAGAGACGTGGCCCCACCCAACTTTGGGGCACACCGAGGCTGTTTTCAGTGCTTTTTTCATGCAGACCTCCCACCTTGGCACAAGCTGCAGACTTTCCTAGGGTCTCTCAAAAGCTCACGGAACCCAAACAAGCAGCATCAGGCCTGAGCGTGTCCTGTACCACTGGCTGAGTAACCCTAAGCCGGCACTAGCAGCAGCTGGCCTTGGTTCAAGGCTTGGCCTCTCAAAGCGCTTCCAAGCACAACACAGGTCGCAGACATCTGTGGATTTTTTTCTAGCTTCCGCTGGGTGACCCCAGGTGGGGCACAGACCCCAGGCTGTGGCTGAAGTAGATCTACAGCGGATCCCCTCCAAGGTGGTCCTGGGGCTGGCACCCCCAGTGGCCAGCTTCAAAATGAGCTGGAACATCACCCAGCTATCTCCAAGTACGACACACCCACAGGGTGGATGGGCAGCTCCAGAGTCCTGCTGAGGCAGATCCTGCTCCGTAGGGGCAGCCCCTGCACCACAGCTCCTCCACTGTAGTCAGGTCCAGTCCTCACAACCAATGAGCCCAAGGGTCAATCCTTCCCAATGATGTGCAATTATCAACCAAGGCTCAACTACAAGAGGGGAGCACACACAACCCACACAAGGGACACACCTGGAGCACGTGGCTCAGGTGACCAGAGACTGCACCACTGAACCCCACAGGACTGCTACTACATAAGTCTACTCTACTAAGACTGGAAGACACAGCAGCCCTACCTAATACATAGAAACAAACACAGGGAGGCAGCCAAAATGGAGAGACAAAGAAACATGTCCCCAATGAAAGAACAGAACACAGCTCTAGAAAAAGAACTAAGCAAAATGAAGCTAAGCAATCTATCAGATGCAGAGTTCCAAACACTGGTTATAAGAATGCTCAGTGATCTCAGGGAGAACTTCAACCGAGAGACAGGAAGCATAAAAATGGAGATGGAAACCATAAAAAAGAATCAGTCAGAAATAAAGGATACAATAATGGAAATGGAGAATATATTACAGGGAATCAACAGTAAATTAGATGAAGCAGAGGATCCGAACAGTGATGTCGAAGGTAGCAGAAAACATCCAACCAGAAAAGCTAAAAGTAAAAAGAGTTCAAAAAATTGAGGAGAGTTTAAGGGGCCTTCAGGACAATGTCAAGCGTACCAACATTCACATTATAGGGGTACCAGAAGGAGAAGAGAGGGAGCAAGGAATTGAAAACC